CGGATACGCACATTCCGTCCACTCACTTTCCCAAGTTCAAAGTCGCCGCTGGCGCACTTCATACTGCACCATGCTTCTACGGATAGCGCTGTTTTTTGTGGTCGCATGTCTGGCGCTGCTAGTTGTTGGCGCAGAAGACTATTACAAGGTATGTAAAGTCTACATTATGCGATTCATACTCTTACCTTTATCGCAATTCCAAGTGCTTTGGCTAACCAAGTTGCGCAGCTACTAGGTCTTGAGAAAGATGCCTCGGAGCGTCAGATCAAGAAAGCGTACCGAAATCTGAGCAAGAAATACCACCCAGATAAGAACCCGTACGTCCAATGCTACACGCGTCCGCCAGGAGCCTACTAACATGTCACAGTGGCAACGAAGAAGCAAATCAGAAATTCGTTGAAATTGCCGAAGCCTACGAAGTCCTTATCGAGAAAGAAACACGCAAGATTTATGACCAATATGGCCATGAGGGCATTCAACAGCACAAACAAGGTGGTGGTCCTCGCCAGCACCACGATCCCTTTGACCTCTTCTCACGCTTCTTTGGTGGCTCCGGACATTTTGGACATCATGGCGGGGAGCGACGAGGGCCGAACATGGAAGTCAAAGTATCTATTCCTCTACGTGACTTTTACAATGGCCGTAAGACGGAGTTCACGATTGAGAAGCAAGCAATCTGCTCGGCCTGTGAGGGATCAGGTTCCGAAGATGGACACGTAGAGACCTGTGGCACATGTGGTGGACGAGGTATTCGCATACAACGACAACAACTTGCACCGGGACTCTTCCAGCAAGTCCAGGTACATTGCGACCAATGTCACGGCAAAGGCAAGACAATCAAGCATCCATGCCCGGTCTGCAGCGGTAGTAGAGTTATCCGTGAATCCGAGACGCACCAGCTTGAGATTGAGAAGGGCATGCCCAACGGCGTACGCATCACCTATGAGAATGAAGCAGACGAGAGCCCAGACTACGTCGCTGGAGACCTTATCGTCCACCTCGCCGAAGCCGATGCTGCATTCGGACAACAAGAGCACGAACGCACAGATGGTACCTTCTTCCGAAGACGGGGTAAGGACCTCTTCTGGCGCGAGGTTCTGTCTCTCCGCGAAGCGTGGATGGGCGACTGGACCCGCAACGTCACGCATCTCGACGGCCACATTGTGCAGCTCTCGCGCAAGCGCGGCGAAGTCGTCCAGCCCAACCTTGTTGAAATCATCAAGGAAGAAGGCATGCCCATCTGGCACCAACAGCTGGAAAACAACGAAGGTCTGCAATACGGTGACCTGCACGTGGAGTACGTGGTCGTCTTGCCCGATCAGATGGACAAGGGTATGGAAAAGGACTTTTGGAGCGTCTGGGAGAAGTACAGGAAGAAGAGTGGGGTCAGCATTGATGCTGAGCTTGGTAGGCCGCAAGAGCCGATTAAGATGCCGGAGCCTGATGCGCATGATGAGCTATAGGTGTGTGAAAGGAAAGAGAGAGTTTTGTATGAATTGAACGTACGCGAATACCCGTGGGTGGAATGAAGATGGTGTGTGTTGTGGAGTTGGGGAGTCAGTCTTCTGTGAGATCAATGAGAGCATGGGAAAAGGGAAATTTTATAGATGGATGTTTTTTTTCAGCTTCTTGGATTTTCTTGGTATAGGTGTGGCAAGATTATGCAGTAGTACTATGTGCAAAGTGATTCTTATTTTGCTTCGTATGTGTGTGTGTATGTATGGTGTGAAGTTACTACTTGAACTGCCTTTGTATCTGTTGTGGTGTATAGCACATCAGTTTTTTTTCTTCAGCAAGAATAACCGGCCCGCTAGAATCAGACATTAAAAAATTCAGCTGGATTAAGGACTCAAGTAAGAAGTCGAGACAAAATCTTCGAGGCTTCAGCTTGGGAATTTACGTCTACGAGAGTTTGCTTTTAAACCCAAAAAAAACGAGGTTACAGGGTAACAAGTGACATGTCTTCGCCTTAGGGGCTTGTTTGTCTTGTTGTTACACATTTTTCTTGCACATCAAGTGTTCTGTTCGAATACAATTCTCATTTCCGTGGCCTTGAACGCTGTGTATTTTCAAGGACGAGTTACGTCGTTCGAAGACAGGCTAGTAGGGTTTGCGATGTCATTACGTTATCTATACCTTGTACTTTTTTCTTTTCTTCATTTGAATGACTAATTTCTATGAACAGAAACCAATTATGGTGGGATTGTATTCCAAGTCACACTTGAAGAAATTACTTATAGTCATCACAGACCTTCTATACATTGTGGGTCTTTGGGTATTGCAATAAATGAGTAGAGAATTCGAAAGAGACTGGGTATAGGGATTTTACGAGTAGCGAACTCAGTAATGGGTAGATGTGAGATGTAAAGTGACTTGATGGTAAGGATACTATACTGGCTTGAAGAGGATAACAGGGATTAGAAGATCTTCAAAGTTTCAATGACTTTGGTGTGTTTCTATACTAAGATCTGAATACTCTCATGTGTCATAAGTCGTCTTTGTTGGAATGCAAATACCCATCCCTAAATGACAAATTCGATATTTGTCATTCCACCGATCGTGCTATTACTTGAAGGGCGTTTCTTTTCTTTTCTTTTCTTTTTGGAGAAGGGATACCCAATTACCCCAAAAGCCACAAAATGGCCCACCAGTCACGAGATACCTTACCACGCAGATGACTCATTTCATCACTTATTCCCGTAGTCTAAATCCCGGCCAAGAGGATGTAACTCTACAAACACACACATGCATATGCATACCAATGTTTTCCCCCAGATAATCCCAGCTCTCATGCGTTCACCAAGCGACCCTCCATCGCCAAACCCCACTGTCTTACAACATGAAGATGCCAATAAGCCGATCAAAAAACCCGATTCCACTCGTCACGAATCCCTTGCCCGGGCAAATCTATCCGGGCCACTGATATACGGTGGGGGTGGCCTATTTGTGTGGTGAAACTGCCCCCAAAGAATCCTTCCAATCCTGCCAGAAACACAAGTTCGAACATAGGGCTGCAGACAATCACATGTGGCGCAACAAATCCCCGGGAACATGTGAATCCCCTCCCCTCCCCCCTCCCATGCCTTTTCATGCTCTGGTTCCCGACGGAAGGGAAAGGGAGGGTGAAAAGAGAGGAAAAAAATCCTCCTTGTCGGATGCGGGATACGGATGCATGTGGACAGTTAGACTAGCGCTGTATGCATCGATGTGTATAGTCTTGGCAGCGGGTTCTCGACGTCAGTTAAGTATGTAAGGGATGATGGGGCTGAACCCCCCCCCCCCTTCTCTCTCCCTCAATCTTGGCAGTGCTTGTATCGAGGAAGGAAAGGGAAGAAAGCAAAGGGGGAAAGAAAAAGAGGGAACATGCCGTGTCGTATTGTTACGCCACATTATCGTGGATGGGGTGCATAGCAGGATCTGGCCCGGTTAAGCGGCCCAGCCAAATGCACGGGAACAACATGGCCGCCGCCGCGGAAGGAAGCCAGAAGACCGTACATTCATCGGTAACGTACGTGTGTGATTGCGGCTGACGTGTTTCTCGCTTCGAAAGGAACGGTTGCTCGGTATCCAAGCGGTGGAGATGGTGGTGGTGGTGGTGGTGTGACACCGATGAGCTGGGTCGGGAGGGAATGGATCATGCTGCGTTTACGCGGCGTTGAACAGGAAAAAAAAAGGGGAAAGGAATGCGGGAACTCCCCAAAGAGGAAACTTCAGCACCACACGCACACACATCCTACGGATATAAAACGCGTATGAGCAAGCGAGAGGGATGGTGGGCGATTAATAATCTGATACCGATCAATCGGGTAATTTCGCTACAGCACACCACCTCCAGCAAAGGATTGTTAATGTACGAGACCGAAACGAGCCACATCCGAGTGTGAGGGTCAGTCAGTTTCACCACGGTGGTTTCCCTTGATCCAGAACGTTTGTTAATCAAGATAAACAACTAGACCCTTCCAAACCATGCTCTCCGGTATACATATACACACAATGTGCCTTCTCGCACGAATTACTCACTTGGTCTAGCACCATGGCCCCAATTGTTGATGATGATGGTGCTGATCCCATCACAGCTTACCGGCGTCCGCTTTGATAACATCCCTAAGCAGCCTGAGCGCCTCAACCGCAAAAGCCACCATGTTGCCTTCCCTCTCTGAGCTTCCCGTCTCTGCCTCTCTCGTCGCCGTGTCCCCACCCTCGCGTGCCACTGCAAGAGCCACGTATCCCGGTGTGCGGTTCCTGGTGCTGCCGCCCGTAGGGCCCGCAGTCCCGCTCTCGCTGACAGCATACGTGCTGCCCAACTTGCTGCGCGTGTGCTCGGCTAGACCTGAGACAACGGCTGGCGTAGGGCCGCTATAGCCAGAGACGGTTTCCTGGGTCCAGCCGCCAAACGCTATGCGAGATTCGAGCGTGTAGAGGATTAGGCCGCCACGGTAGTAGGAGGATGCGCCGGGGAAAGAGAGAAGAGCTGCTGAGATGAGGCCGCCTGCTGCCTAGGGGGGTGATGTTTAGTTAGCTTTAGGTGTGTATCACATGTCCGTTGACAGATAGAACGAGGTACACAGACTGTTTCTGCAACTGAAATTGTTTCTTTGCGCTCTTTGAGAAGAGTAGCCACCTCTTGAACTATCAGCCGGAGCTCTTCGGGTGGGAAGCTTGGGGGTGCCATTGTGCAGCTTGAAAACGATGCCACGGGACTCTGCGATGTTTTGGGGATGTATTGAGTCAGTCTCAGTTGATGTAGAGGAACCGGTATCTTTTTGTTGTTTGTTTACAACATTGTTGCAGGCTAAGCACGTTGACATGATGTTATGGCCGACGTCGCCGTTGCGGGTCAGTGGGGTAGCTTCTCCAAAGTGACGTGATGCGGGGTAGCTTCTGTTCTGAACACCAGCAATATGTAGATTGAGAGAATGCTCCGTACTTCATTTACCTCATATGTTGGTGGATGAATCTTTGCATATATGTTATGTGCGCACCCTCTTGCCACGCCTAAGCTAATCAAAAGCGAACCTTTCTTCTCCCCTCTTCATCAACCTGATAGGTATAGAAGTGCCCCGCAGCTGTAATGTAATAATGGATGCAACTTTGTACCGAAGAGCATGCTGGGCTCTGTCTACAGCTTTCTTGTACAGCTCTCGCCGCTCTTGGCCCCCCTTTGGCATCTTTTCCACCTCTTCATCAGAAGCAAAATCATCAACGGCAAGCTCGACACTGTACTGCGAGAATATAGCAGCTAGCACTGCAAGAACCTCAGCTTGCGCAAAGCGTCGCCCTATGCAGGATCGGCCACCATCACTGAATGGGATATAGGATCCTCTGACAGGCTTGAAGAGCTCCGATGACGTGTCTTCACCGGATGGTCCACGTAGTGCTTCGTCGTCGTACTCAACTTCGACATAAGATTCCGAAAGGTTGTTCTTTGTAAACCAGCGCTCAGGTCGGAAACGATCCGGGTCCGCCATACCATCATCGATTGTGTCATTTTCGGGTGCGGGCCAGTACTTCGGATTGCGATGGACAGACGAGCAAAGGAAGACGTTCGCACCTGCAGGGATAGTGTATGACTGGCCGTCCACTTGGATGGTCTGGGGTTGGTCTGGCGTGACTGATTTTGGAATGTTGACAATTGGCTGCAGTAGCCGGAGCGTCTCGTTCATGACTGCAGCTGGCATGCTCGCGAAAAGCTTAGGGAAATGTTCTTCGTACGTCCATTCACTCGTCGGCCTGCCATTGAATATCCGGTCAATATCCTGTTGCAGTCGTTTCTGGGAAGCCCAATACATTGCGAGAAAAATCAGCGAAAAGTGTAGCGTGTTTGCTGTTGTTTCGTGGCCCGCCAGCATGATCACAAAAGCGTTACCGAGGATATCGCTCTTATCGGCAGTTGTGGGGTTTTCACCTGTGATACCACTACCACGAATTAACGATTCGAACACATCCATCCCCCTCTTGCCTTCACCGGAAAGAAACTGAGCCTTTTTGATCTCATACAACTCGTTCATATAAGCCCTCCACTCGGCAGCCGCCTCGGCAACTGTACGATGCGCCGTAAACGGAGATTTTTCTATTAGAATACATCAATGCCATTGCCTCAATTATGAGTGATACTGATATATCTTACCAAGCCATGGGATAGGAATTATCTGGGTCCAGATGATGTTATGAAGCAGCTCACTGAGCGCTTCTCGAAAACTCATAGTATGTCCGGGAGGCGCCTTGGAGCTGAAAGAGATGGACTGTTCTGTATTCTTGCTGACTGTTTCCTCCTTACCTTCTTCATGCGGCCAGGTAACCCGTACATCGAAGCCTGCGCTACTAATGATGTACAAAGCAAAGTTCATTGCGGCTACAGAAGGATCATTAATGGTCTTGTTGCCTCTTCCCTCGGGTCCAGCCCAGAGACTAAGCAGTGATTTTGCGTGATGGAGTGTTTCGTTCCAAACAAGCTCATTGTTGCGCTCACCGAAACTCGGTGCTACAAGTTTGCGATGGCTGCGCCATTCAGATCCTTCGGTAGTCACAAGACTCTTCCCATATATGTTGAGGGATTTGTAAATCTCAAGCGGCTTGGGAAAGTCATTACGACGGGCGGTGATTTGGGTGATGGCTTCTGCATTAGCGACATAGACGGTGAGTCCAGAGGGGGCAGCGGCAACGAATATGTCCTTGCCAATCTCCTTGAAATATTTGTGTCCAGTGACATGGGTCCATTCTGCCTGTAGGATTCTGCAAGGCAATGGTTAACATGTGACGGTTGGCGCGATTGTCTATACATACTCCAACCACAGGCCCGTTAGGGAGCTTGGGAGAATTTTTCGCAGCAGCAGCGTCCAGAACTTGAATGTGGCCAGCCATAAACGATTGTAGATATTCCAAGGAACCGAAACCACAGGCAGCCCTGAGCTCTTAGCGAGGGCGATATGGCGCTGATGGCGGTGATATCTCCCAGCAGCTTTGTAGATGGTGTAGGCTACAATGGCGCTAAAGGACCAGGTGGCAAAGACCATGGTGAGCGGAGGTGTAGAGCAGATGCTATGCTATGCTAGAGAAGGTAATTAGGCGACGGTGCACGAGATGTTTGCTGTTTGTGATGCTGTGCTCCTCATGAGAGGAAGACGTGACGTCGCCATGTTGGCGCTACTGATCGGCCATGTGGCGTTTCAGCGCTCAAACAGTCTTTCAGGGGCCAGCAAAAAAAATCACAGTGTACAGCTTCCAGTAAAAGGCTGACCTAAGCCAGATGGGTTCGTGTTCTCAGCTCTGGTAGCTATGCAGACCAAAATAATTATACATGTGGCGCTGCCGCGCGGAAGGATGTTTGTGTAACGAGCAGTCATTGTCCAGGTACGAGTCTTGGCACGAGTCTCGGGGTATTAGCCGCCACCTGCTGTATAACAATACACTGATATAGTAACACTCACTCTGCCGCCGTAGAAACGACGGGATTTTCTGATGCATTTGAATCACCGGGTGCTTTGGACAAAAGTGAGGCTACTTCGCTTGCATGCAGAGTTTGCGTCTCGTACGACAATCCTGGCACAACGCTCCGTGGAGGCAAGGAATGCGCACGCCGCTTGGTGAACAGTAGTGGGACAGAAACTTGATGTTTACGTACTGACATACCACTATGTGCTATATGCTATATACTACTGGATATGTACGTACCTACAGGCTGCCAGCTTCGACGTCACAAGCCAGGCTCTAGTTGTTTCGTTGGACTGGGCGCACAAGGTTTTCATGTTGCAATAAGCTTTGGAACTGCAATGCGACTGTTGTGCGGCTTTGCTGTGACCTCGTCCAGCTTCAACCGCAGACCAGGGCATGCCATCGCAAGCGGCACGTAAGGCTAGGCGCGAATCATGGCCATTGACACGACCTGCCCTTCTCTAGGGCGCAAAACTCTGTGTAGGAGCAGGCCTGATCCGGTCAAGCAAGCAACGCGACTACTACACCGACTCGATGGCGACTTACCGGCAGACTTTGACTCGTCAAGAAGGCGTGTGAGGAACTCCCCAAGGGATTACTGGACGCCTCCTGCCTTCCACGTGGAGAAGCTACGGCCACCAGGATGACGAAGCCAGGGTTCCCACGAGGGTTGCAGGCAGACCTTGTTAAACACGGCTCGGGCTGTGGGGAGAGGAGTCGTCTATCGGACATGGCTTTGGCAGCAGCAGCAATCATCGAGGTTGAGGCAGACCGCAACTTGGCGTAGCGTCGGCGGACAGGACCGGGCAGAGTCGGCTGGTCATCTGACAAAATGGCTTCAATGGCCACTGCTGCGACGGGCTTAGCAGCAGCGGCCACTGCTGTTTGGGATTAATGCCTTCCTGGCAGCTGACCATGCCGAGGCACGGTCGAGAAGAGGGTGGATGTGGGTGTGGGTGTGTGTGTGCCTGTTGGCAGAGGGCCATTAGCAGAGACTTCCCGTGGTGCAAGGGTGGCTGGGCGGCGGCGGCAGTAGCAGCAGCAGCAGCACAGCGCGGAGCGGAACCAACGTTGTAATGGAGGGGCAGCGCAGGCAGGCCGACGACGCCGTGGTGATCCTGGCCTGCCTTCTCCCTTGTCGACTGGGAGCCTACTGTTCCTGACGCCATTCTGGCGGTCGCATCTTACGGCGCGCTAAATAACATCCAGGATTTTCCCGAGAATGTTTTGTCATGGTGAAACTAATGTGGTGATGCTACCACTACTTACTACATACGTACCAGGCCGAGAGCCGCGTTTTCCCACCGCAACCGTACGACGCGGGCAAATGGGTAGTGCAGGGAGTATACGCACCATCTGGCCATGTGCCACCAGGCTGCCTATAGGAGTTTCGCCAGGATCCGCAGCGTGCGAGTGCAGATCTTTGGGCAGCAGCAGCAATGGCGGCAGTGGTTAGTGGTATGTAGTAGCCATGATAGTCGCAGATTGCCGCATCCGTTTTGAGGGAGATTGGGGACCTAGGGTTTGAGGGCGGCATGCAACGAGGGGCAGGCGGGCGGGAGCGAGTGCGAGCACGAGGTCGCCAGTGGCAATGGGCAGCATAGCCATCCATCCTTTGTCAGGCCGAAAAAGATAGGGCATACGGGCTGTCTAGACGCCACCTGCAGCACATCACTTCCACGAGCCTTCTCGAATGCCTTGGTGCCGCAGTAGAGTGGAGGCTGGGAGGACTGGGCATGTTGACTAGTGCCTCGACGAGCTCGGATCAGCTTCCTGAGTCTTTGAGGCCAGCAATTGGGCGGAAATTGTCCGACTCAAGGCCCTCATGACAGGCTTGCCTCAAGCTGGGCCAGGGTCGCTGCGGAGAGGAGTGGTGTTGGTGATGAGCGGAGAAGCGCGCAAGCCGCACGAAACAAAGTGCCCAGCGACGGCCAGCCACAAGGGCCGGAGTGGACAGGGCAGTTTGTGGTGGACGAGGCAGATGACGGATGCAGATTGCACATGGATATGGAATGGATATGGCATGGCTGCGCGGTTGCCATGGACGGGAGCGACGTTTGCTGTCTGCAGCGGTTGCGGTTGCGGTTGCGGTAATGCCCTGGGAGGGGCGACGGGCGACGGGCAGAGAGGGCGCCATTGTTTGATGGCGACAGTGTGGGTGCGACTACTGCGACTGCTACCACTGTTACTCACTTTCACCCTGAAGCATCCGGCCATATGCGTGGGTTGGCTGCATACAGACAGACACACACACACACACACACATGCTGCTACTATACACACACACTCACCCACACACACTCACCCACACACACTCCCCTCTACATACTAAGTATGTATGTGTGCACCCACCCACACTGCGCATCTGGTGGACCCCCCGCTCAACCCTGCGCGGGCTGGGCGTGCACAAGCGAAGCTGCAGAAGCTCTCTGATGTCTCTGACCGTCCTTTGGTGCACGCTGCTCGCCCATTTGCCTTGCGCTAATCGGCCGTCTCTTCACCTGTCTTTGCCCACGGCCGCCGCCGCCGTCTTCTTGGTCGTCGTGGTCGCCCTCACCGTCCCCATGTGCGCTGGGCCTTGCTGTCATTGACTTGCTGCTGCTGCTGCTACTGCTGCTACTGCTACTCTGCCTCTCTACCTCTGGCCTCGTCTGTTCTCCCCCCCCTTGTCATCATCATCACAACCACCACTACCACCCATCAAACACCACCCTTACCAGGCCCTAATATTACTCCCATCACCTCCACCATCACCTCCACCTCCACCACTACCCGACCCCCTCGGCGCGCGTGTGCCTGAGCCAGTGCTGGGCCGCCTCCCGCGCCCTGTCGCATCGCGCCCTGGAGCTGTTCCTTTTTGCGACTGATGTGGTTTCGCGTCTTTTCTGATTGCGCCCTGGCCCCTTCGTTCGCACGGCCCGTCTTAAAAGCGCCACTTTTCGCCGACTGAGCAACAAACGTCCTAGCATTGACCGCGCGCGACTCATTCATCTCGCCTTTACCTGCTTCGGATAGTTGTCTCCGGCTCCATGGTAAGGTCGTCCTGCCCAAGACTAGGTCCTTTCTTCGCGCACGCGGCATAGGAAAGCTCCCGTCCTGCATCCCACTCTGGCCTCCGAGCACTTGCCCTGCGACGCTTTCCAAACTCTTCCCCTCTTCCATGCGATGACGCGGGTTGGGCTGTCATCTGCAAATCACTACTGACCAACCAACTCGCTGCCTTTTTGGTGAATTGGTCCCCTTCCGCCCCTGCGACTGCCGAGGCCGCTCTCCACCAGCTGCACCCCCCGCGACCTTCCTTCCTGGCTTTTGCCGTTTGGTGGTCCTGGAACCATCCGTTGTGCCCAGTAGTGCTCTGTCATACATAGCCGCATGGCCATAGCGGATTCTGTCTGGCATATGTAAGGATGGCTGATCCTGACGCGCCCGCCCATAACAAGAGAGCTCGTTTGGGCTCCAGCAATCTTGACTACAACGGCCACGGATTCCCTCCCCCTCCTCCACCGCCTCATACCCAACCCACCCGCCCTCCGACACATCCCACCTTGGCCCAGGCTTCTCCGCCCTACCCTACTGCCCACGGTCTATCCACTCCCTCTCACCAGTACACCGCTCACCCCCAAGCCTACCCAGGCCCGCTACCCTCGCCATCGTTGCCACCTTCTGACATTCGCGCCCTTGCGGATCCGCGCAACATACCCTCTCCCCGGCAGCATCCCAATGGCGTCACAGGAGTCGCTACTGTGACAATCCCCCAGGACCGCATTTCAACCTACCGTCCTCCACCGACGCCCCAGTCAGCATCGGCCCCAGACCCTCACAGCTCCCGCTCCACCAGCCTCAGTATCAGTACCGACGTCAAGCCCCAGCCCCAGTCTCAACCTCAGCCTCAACCACCCATGGAGCATGGTGGCCATCACCCGGCGTGGCCTCCCATGAACCCCGAGCACCGGCCAAATGGCAACATGGCGAATGGCTACAGTCATGCCATGAGTCCCTCTCACCCCAACGGACCCCCGCCATACCACGCGCAGCCACCACCACCACCACCACCTGCTCAGCAGTATCCCCAGCCAGTGACTCCCTACGCGCCCACGCCCTACATGAACGACTATGGCGCCGCACAGCAAATACGAAGGAAGCAGGTCCGAGCTACGCAGGCTTGTAACCACTGTCGTTCGCGAAAGCAGAAGTGTGACGAAGCCCGGCCGTGCCAGTTCTGCAGAGAGAACAACTTTGACTGCCAGTACAAAGATGTTCCACCACCAAAGTGCGTCGCCTCCCCTCCATACTTGGTCACCCCCCCCCCCCCCCCACCGCTGACGCTTTCCTAGGCAAGATAGAAGCATGATGCAGCTTCAAGAGAGCGTCAACAACATATCAGACGTTCTGTCACAATTCGTGGATCAGTTCAACACGTGGAAACAGGGTGTCGAGAGCAGACTTCCACCGACGCGAAACGACATGATGTCCAATCACGCTTCGCCCGAGGCCTCGTTCTCTACAACCCAAAGAGATCAGAGCACTTCCAGATGGCCAACACCTGCTCAAGGAGGAAGGGGCCAAATGGCTCGTGTACACAGCAATCTCAAGATGGAATCACCAGTTGTCCCCCATTCGAGCACGTTGTCGCCTCTGGGCACTCACGCCTCTGCTCCTATCAAGCAGGAGTCGCAGTTTGCTCCTCCTCCGCAGCAACCCGCAACACCTGCCGAAAGCGTGAGGACCGAACGTAGCCACGCTACCGAGACCGGCCCTAAAGAACAGACCGGCCTCCAAGGAGACCACACTACCCCTGCACATAAACTTCTCGAAGAGTGGACCCAAATGAACATCTTCTATCAAGGTATTCCATACCTGAAACGACTAATCGACAATGGCCGCGAAGTGTCAGACTATCCGATGCAGTTGGAGCAGGACCGTGGTTTGCTGCGCGTTTGGGGTGTTGGCGAGGGCCAAGACCTAAACGACGGCGCCCAAGGCCCTGGTAGCCCCGAGAGCAGCAACGATTCCGAAGCCGCATCTCCAGCGCCTGGCAAAGATGGTTTGTGGGGCCATCCGCCTTACGACCACCAAAGCCCCTCTGAGCCCAGCAGCACACCACGCGAAAGCTACCAGAGCGGACTTGGCCCAGATGGCCGCCCTGACTTTCGTCGTCACGTCATGTTTGATTTGCTCAAGTCGTACATGGACAGCATGCACATGTTCCATCCGTTCATGAACGAGGTCAAACTTAAGCGCATGTTCAGAGAGTTCAGCGATCAGTACAGTCCCGAATCGCGAGGCGCAAGTGTCAGATCACCGGCTGTCAACGGAGTGCACCAGCTCAATCCCGGCGTCAAACGAAAGCGTTCGGCGAGCGGGTTGGACGGGTTGCCATCGGCTCGAGGTGAGATTGAACGCTCATTGCGCAATGCCATTGTTCTACTTGTTCTTGCCCTAGGCAAGGTTTGCTCATACACAGACCCGTTGCCTGCACCGCAAAATGACCGGAATCCTTACATTCACGCCGAGTATGGCTACATCCGCAACTCTCCAAATGCCAACGGTAGTTTTGCCAGTGAGGCGTCTGAAGACAGCCGTCCGCGAAACATTGACATTCTCCCTGGTATGGCTTACTACGCTTACGCGACTGACATCCTCGGAAACCAGCAAGGTGGAAACACAACCGCCCACGCGCAAGCCATGCTTTTGGCCGCGCTCTATCTCAGTCAATTCGCACGTGTATTAGAGAGCTGGAGTTGGATCAACAACGCATGCCGTATCGCTCTGGTACTGATCAAAGCCGACTACACTAAGCTCCTTCGTGTGAACAACGAGAAAAGACAATTCTGGAGTCCCAAGGAACGATATAGATTGAATCTGGTCATGTGTGTTTACTGGACAGCACTACAGCTCGAATCGTAAGTCGGCTTCTATTGTCAAAATCAAAACTCCAACAAATAGCTAACAGATTTTTTTCTAGTGATATCCTGGCGGAGATGAGCAACCTGCCACCATCCGGTATCTCCGCCCACCAGAGTGACATTATGTACCCTGAAGGTGTCAACGAAACCTGGATCCAAGAGGACAGCAGCTCCGCGCAACCCGAGGACATCACTTCAGGCCCGCGGAACGACCTGATGATGAAGCTCTACTCTACGCAGACATTCCTGCGAGTGATTCTGAATGTGGCACACAACGCCTTGTACGGACCCAGCGGACGAATGAGCTTCGACCCCACTAGTGTCAAGGAAGTCGCTTATCACGCGCTCACACACGTGGGTGTCTTGGAAAACTGGAGGAAACTACTTTCACCCGAGCTTGCCTGGGACGACAGCGAGTACCCCTCGACCGACCTCAACATTGCCCGTGTTCGCGCCAAGTACTATGGTGGCCTTTACATGATGTTGCGACCGTATCTCAAGCTCGCGAGTCATGTTTTGGAGTTCCCGCCCCCACCTCCAGGGAGCACGGGCGCCTCTCAGCACAACTCGCCGTCCCCATACGGACAGCCCCTTACAAACAGGAACGTGCAGATGGTCGAACTGAGCGAGGACCAGCAGAAGATTATCAAGGTCGCTTGCCAATGCATCAACAGCGCGATCCACAGCACAATTGCATTCGATCGCGTCGGTGAAGAGCCTGGCAGCAAATACCAGTACTTCACCCCAACACGCAAGAAGAGGCTCGTAGTCACAAACATATTTGGTACACTTCACGCGTAAGTCTTTGACTCTCCTGATCTTCTCTATAGCCCCGCTAACGCAGCGTAGACAATTCGGAAATATGCTTGTCCTCGCCTCAGTGTACAAGTCCAAACTCTATCCTCTCCTTCCAAGCGATACCTGGCTCACCAAATCCACACTCTCCGCCCTATTTAAGCGCACCATTAACGTCATTGAAGACGTTGCGCCAAACTCGCCCATCCTGCGCATGGACCTCGAAATCCTCAGGAATGTTCAGCGGCAACAGGGTCTGGAGTGATGCCAGGCGTAGAGCAACAAAGAAGAAGAGAAGAAAAAAAAGCAACATATGGTGGCGGGTTCCCAAACCTGATCCCATATCTACATCCTGCCGTATGGAGCGACACCCGCATGCGCCGACGCATGCGCGTACACCCTCCCTCCTCGGATCTTGTCGCCATCCGTCACGGACGATCTGGTCCGACACAGATCTGGGATCGTGCATAATGACCTGCATATTTTGGCCCCGGCGCATTGCTTTCTATTAATTATTTTTTTGGGTTCTTTTTTTTTCTCGATATTCCCCACAATCGACGGCCATGACTGTACATGCAACCAGACGTATGCGCACGTAGCAAGGACAACAACTTCATCATCATTGGGTGGCTAGCGCTGACACAATTCGTATGCATTTCTAGTCATTTTCATCTCTCTGTCCGTTTTACCGGAGAATCAATCAATTGTTCTATAGTCTTACAAAGCCTGGGTGGATGATCTGTCTGTTACCGTTGAAGGTAACCCTAACGTTCTGTTCTATTTTTCTTTTCTTTTTTTGGATCCCTTCCTCTATTCTGGGTCCTGATTTTGATATCCCGCCTGTCAGGAGAAAGCGCGCCGATTGCGACAATGGGCATGCCCTGAGGATTGGACACTACCGCAGTTGCAGTTCTCTCACCGATCAGACTAGAACGGAGACTAGTGTGTACGGGTGCTGCAGATGTGGGGTCTAGATCTACGCATGAGCAAGACGAAGCACAAGGCGTGCCGCCGGCAGAGCTCTAGTTAGTTTTCTGATTCGACAGACAGATGTTCGAGTTGATGGAGTTTGGTCGTGTCAGATCTACACCTACCAACCATTGCATTCCTCTTCACCGATTTTGCGTTGCGCATCCTGCCGATTTGTTTTTCGCTACCTATGTGAATGCTTTTCCTTAGATCTCAAAGACCCTCACACACCGTTCATGCAGGCTCGCCTATCAGTGGAGGCGGTATGCTTCTCCGCCTTCTCTCATCCAGTCGCCTGCCACCTAGATTCTTCGGTATTTGCTTTTTCCTCCGTCCTTGGCGTCGTAGGAGTACACCTCGTAACAGAGGTCCCTTACCAAAAAGACCCATGTTTTGCGTGCGCATTAGCAGCCTTATTTCTCAACCAGCGTTCCTGTGGGGCTTCTCGGAACGGCCATGTGCGGTAACACCCTCCGACCACATGGCTGGGCGACATTTTTTGACAACTTTTTTCTTCCTTGTTACATTGTGTAACCAGCGCCTCAGCCGTTCTGCCTGCTCTAGTTCACCGATTTACTTTTTTCTTGTGGCATCGCCCCACGACACGTGATGCGGCAGCACCCAAGAAAATATGCCGATTATCCGGATAATAGGCGTTTGATGCGCTTGCATGTCTATCTTACTCTAGGAGTACAGGGACTCATGTAACGTGAGGTGATATGATTACGCACTAATCTCACCACACAATATCTCCATGATCGGTGAGTTGGCATATCCCTGCTGTTGAAGACGCCCACCTACCTTATCGTACGCCGCATGTATACAGCGATCCTTGTATTGATGCCTTTGTTTTTATCGTGATTACTATTCTTCAACTCTACAATGAGGACGCAGTACAGCAGCGTAGAGGAACATGAGGGCCGATTCTCAACAGTACTCGCCACAGAGAGTGCTCTCGCTTCGAGCATCTGGCCCTGCTGACAAAGCATGACGCATCTGCAATGTCGACCAAAAAAGAAATTATACTCTGTATACCTGCGCAGGTTTCTGCCGCAGGTAGCATGTACCTGCACCCATATGTAAATGTACATGTGTACGTACATGTTACAACCTAAGTACCTTACAAAGTTGTCATTGGTGAACAGAGTACACTAGGGGCTCTCTCGCATGCCTATGGGCTACTTGATGCGCAACATGCAGACGTGCATGGAAAAAGGTTCCATGATGCCTTTTCACCACGAGCTTTTTCTGTACACTACGTCTTTGTTGCTTTATGAGCTGGTCTTGATGTGCGTACGAAATACATGCGTACTTAGATGTGTAGGGCTTAGCGATGTGTGTAGCCAATCAAGTTCCCCCATCTCGTTCCACATGTCTGGTCCATCGCATCCCGCCGGAGATTTCCCCGCCGCATCGCCAAGGCGCTCCAATCTTTGGTGTCTCCTCCCTTTCCACCCTTTATTTCTCCACCCCCTCGATGTTGTAGTAGTAAGTTGCCGGACTGCTCTTAGCGACCTCCAGGCGCACGGGGAAAGTCCAAACGAGGAATAACATCAGCAGCACACCGCAAATGTGACAGCCGCGGCTGGCGGTCTATCCCGTACATGCGTTCTGCTACTGTTTCCAGTCAGCCGCGTCTAAACCGTAGCGAACCGTGATTATTTCGGTATACCGCGCCCCACTCGCATGCCAGCCAAAGTGAAAACCACACATTGTATGCAATCCGGCAAGCAGACCCATGTACGACATCAAATCATAAGTACTCTTGCACCATCCAAACACGGCAACCCGGATGTTGCGACAATGTGCAAACCAAGACAAAGCCGCGTACAATCAGGTGGGCGGCGGATGGCGGCCAGTTTTGGTCGGTCAATTATTGCCAGCAGCCCTTGTTCCTGTTGTTCATGGGCTTGTCGGACCTCTCTCCGACGCCACATCATTGGTAGAACAGTGCAACAGTACTCTCCGGTGAGCGCATAGCTTTGGACCCTGGAGAGGTGATGATATTATCCACTATTGAAACGCGGGCGTCATTGTGACGCGTGACGTCTTTGCGGCCAATACTTACTCGATGAGGCTGGGCGAAGGCGGTCTTAACAAAAGCTACGTTCAGTATACGGTAAGTCCAGCACTCATACGAGTATTGGCGATTCAGCTGGGGTCCGCTGGGCCCCATTGGTGATCTGTCCGAACAAAGTCATCTGCTTCAGAGTTTGGAGTACTAAACAGTCAGCCTTGGATTACTCCGAAATGTACCCTGTTAGTCGCGTAGATCATGCTAAGAGGGCCGGAGATCTAACGCCGAGATAAGGGATATGTCGTCTCCTTAGCAGTCGCAAAAACATGCCATTTCAACTGACTCGAATCGGCTGCAAGAGCATGCGTTCCGGGTCATCGTTTTTGCAAAAATGCGTGTACTATCTATGTACAAAATAAGATTTCCGGCATAATACGGGTGGCCGTGGACCACGGATATTTGTTCCCTTCCAATCTTTGATCTGATAAACCCGGACTGTGGCACAGTCACGCGCGAACCGCAACAATCTAGACCAGAACGGCGAACGTTGGGCAGCGTTCAAACGTGTCGTGGACAATGGCGGGAAGGGGGGAGGGGCTTTCACTCAGACGTTGCGGAGTATACTCCGCAGATGCTCATGAGCTGGCTCCCCTGTTGGGCACACGGAACGCAGATCAATTCTGGGGCCTTTTCACATTGGACGCCGACTTGAATGCATCTTCTTGTGCGAACAATTGGTCACTGGTGCGGAAACACAACATTTACGAAGATCATAAGGTTATCATCGTGTAAAACCGCTACTGCTAATGGCCCACTAGGCTGAGAATGATGACTTGCACATTAAACCATGTTGTGTAAGTAAGATCATTGTTCAGCCCACACTATTCCTGGACATGCTTTCTTCTGTGACAAAAGTGGATACATTTATACATTACTCACGAGGTTTTCGCTAATTCGCTTCGTGTTCGTGATGGCCAATGAGTTTCACAGCCACTCTAGGCGTGTCTGGCCTCACAGCTTCGGAACTATTCCTCCCGCCATCGCATCGACTCCCACAATTAAACGTGCGGCAACCCGAGAGAACCTGTGGTCATGATCTCCATCCCCATCTGGACACTACTCGTAAGGAGCAAGCCGGTGCGCTCCCAAGACCGAAAGAGAAAGTTTAAACCATTGACATCGACGTTGGAAGCTTAGATTCGGGGAAAGTGAGGCGCGAAGCGCGTCGCCGTTGATGCGGGCTACCACCAATGTTGCATGGTTGGGGTAGATGACAGCCTCATACGCATGCGGCGGATTGAATGAACGTCTAGACCCCGCCATCAACACACACGCACACCTCAGCCTTTGCGGTATGGCACTAAGACCTGTTGTATGCAGTCACAATCACGTTGCCAGTCGTCGAATAACATCTCGAAACGATGCCCAGCGTTTGTCGGCCGAACAAGGCAAGCCACAAAACATGCTGCGGTCCTCTGCCGCGGCCTTCCGCGTGTTCCCGTCTTCGCCAATCGAGCATTGTACTCTTCACCGATCAGGATGGCCTTTGTAGCATCGGCTAGAGGCACTTCCCGCAAGAGATAAATCCACAATGTAGCATCTCCAGCCGAGATTACGAAGACGACGACGACAGCATTGACAAGATCAGCAACCCCAGCAGCACCAGATGTCGGAGAAAGATGGATGTAAAGATGCGCACAAATGTATCTAAGATTAAACGCTGTCTTGGATGGGATACTGCATGTACAATCGGAGATGCTTCCAGGAAGGTCGGGCCTTTTTTTGGTTGGTTTTCGATATGTTGTTATCTGTGACCGCCTGTTGCCATGCAATCCGTGTCACGTTCGTCCGATTCTACGTTCTGAGGTATACATATAAACGCACATACGTTGAGCAGCTGGGGTATGGGGTGGGCATACGCTTGGTTGGCGGCGTGGCCGGTGCATCGTGTCGCGATAGGAGGAGACGGCGGTGGCCTTGGTCTTTCGGACTTCGAAACTCTGATGGATTCAAGTGTCAGGGTTGGCACATGATTAGATTGGGGGAGAATGTTCTGAACGTGTTCTTTCACGCGTTTGGTCCTGTCTGTGCTTACCCCAATTTCGCGTCATGATCCCTTTTCCTCCCACGTCTCGGCACGGGGTACAACTCCAATCCAATGGCTCCATGAGTTGCTTCTATTTGCCTAATTTAACGGGCCGGTAACGACCGTCGCAACGAGCACTCCGAAAGGATCGATATTCCACAAGGATGATACATTCGGCCCTTTAAAGACCATCTTTCGGCACATGTCCAACGACCTCAAGCCGGAGTCAATCAATAGTGCAAGAGATGGAATTGAGTCCAAATAGTCACATCGTGTTCGTCAGCAGCCTTTGAGGCTGTCCAATCACTGCCTTATCCTATTGTCAGCAGTTCAATTACAACGGCAGTTCAGGACGTGCTCTCAGAGCTATCCAATATATCTTGGTTTCGGGTGCACTGGTCCACCATTTCCCCTCCCATGGAGACCGTTCGCCAAACGCAAGTCAGATCTCCCCATCGGCCCTTTGTGTCGTAGACCACATTTCCGGATGGCCGGAGCATCGCCATGTCTGCCTACGTATGTTGCGCCTGCCCCACAGAACGAGACGTTGGATGTCGTGGGGATCGCTGAAGCACTAGGTAAGCATGCTGGTGGGTCTTTGCGTTAACGACGACAGGCGTCAAAATGTCAGATCCACTTTGACGCACGACAAGTTGGTATACCCACTGTTTTGGGGTAGCGCACGGGCTTATCAGACACCGGAAAGATGCTGAGCTCCAATCTTACAAACCAATGCTTGACCCTCAAACATACCGCCAAGTTATCTGAGGGGGTTTGCCTTGGAGCGGTCTGTGAGGTTGTCTAGACAAGACGCGAATAGATACACCACACAGTATCGCCGCCCAACCCTGAGCGGTTGCAAGTATCCTGAAGCCCTGAAAGTATACATGCACGAAGTTACATGCTATGTTGGGATCTCATCAGGCCTTTTTTTTAACCGCACCACCCTGGAAGCGTGTGGACCATGTTGCCAACAGGATAAGCGACAACAATGCCAGGATGAATCCGAATGATGCCCAACGCAAGCGACATAGACGCATACGGATAATCCGCCGGACATGCTTGAGAGCGCGTCCCGGCCACTCCTTGTTCTTCATGGATGGGACAGATATCTCGGTAGGTGAGCTTTGAATAGAATTGCGCAACGAGTCAAATGTCGTGCAGCGGTGGTCTTGACAGGGCCCCACTGTAATAACGCTCGTCATGAAAGCTTGATCAGCGTCTAAGCTGCCTGGTTATTAGTGAGTAGTCCGTGTTGTAAGGTGTAGAGAAAATTTTGTTAAGATCAAAAAAAAAGTGGTTACTATTAACGTAATCCGTTGCTTCCCAAAGCTTAAAATTGTTCTTGTTGTGATGCCTGTGACTTGCAGACTGTAGATCATGAATGGAAACTTGTAAGTTTTTCACATATCAAGGAGTCTTGGGCAAAGTTGGCAAAGGCAAGATGCAAGACTAGAGATTTTGTATGGTTCAAGTGTTCTCTTAGCCTAGCATACAGACGGAAGAGTGATGTAAACGAGTGGAGTGAATCCTATTGATGCTACACTGCTCAGGGCCAATTTCAAGTTTCCTTCGCTCACCCTTCACTACTGTCGCTCTTCCCTCAGTTCAAAATTCTTCCTGTATCCGCTATCTGTCACTTTTGTGTTCTTCTACAGTCTATTTTGTCTTCGCCCTATATCCCCCGTGTCACATTTCGATGTTCTTAAACTTTCCAAAGCTGTATATGCAACTTCAATAACTCATGCTGGAATTGCAACACCCATTTGTAACATTTGGCTACAGCATGTGTAATCTACTTCTGGAACGCTCCGTGGGGAGGGAGTGACAATGTACTGTCACTCGTACGACTATGGATCTGCTAGCTACGACTGCCTACCACGTTGTCGAGAAGCACTATTGTGCGAATATTTGATCACAATGTGTTACCAACGACCTATCTTGAGAACTCACAAAAACAAACAAACATATCTAGTTAATACCAAAGAATTGCTTCTTATTTAACGATGATTCTCCCATTGTGAATGCCATAGTATCGAGAGACGGTCTACCTTCACTTGGGAAAATAATAGAAAAGCGAGGCAGTAGCGACAACGCATCGACACACTCCTGTCCTTCCACGAACTTCACATCCCTACTTCAACCCTCTATACTATCCTCACAGTATTACAGATCAGCCCTACGGCACAAATTACATGTCTAAGCCTCACTACGTGGAATCCCATCGCCACTACTCCTACTTCGAAGCATCATTTCCACCACCAAACACTTCCTTCCGACCCATACAAACACGCACTTGGACGCACAACAGCCCAGCAAGAATACCACAGTACAATCACCCATCACACAAGAACGATCCTAGAAAGGCGGCAATCAAACACGTGCACTTCGACCTGCCTGGTTCGCGGCAAAACACAGTCAAGATAGCCATCGAACAAAGCCAACAAGACATGCAACAACAAAACCCAAAACAGCAAGAGAGAACCGAACGACCACCTCTATACCGCCAACCCACCCCTTTACCTCAAAAACTCAAAGACCACGCATTACGACCTTGCTATCCATCTCCCCCATACAACCACACCACCCACCAGCACCAGCATCACCACCAACACCAACTTCAACAAATCAACAACACCACGTCTACCATCCTCCCCCCGACAATCTACATAATCTCCTACTCCACCGACCTCACCCGCACAGAATCCGCAACCACCACCCTCCTCGCCTCCCAAGTCCCCCACCGCACCCCGCCAATCCGCCACCTCTACACCATCGACGCCCGCAACATACAGCCCCCTTCTCCCTCCCTCTGCGCACGGTACTCCGGACTCGCCCCACTAATTCAGGATATCGTCATGCAAGATGTGTGTGCTCAGAATGCGGTGAGGACGGCGGTTAGGGAGTTGTTGCTGGGGTTTGGGAGTGGGGAGAAGAGGGGGAGGGGAGAGACGGAGAAGGAGGTCAGTATGAGTGTTTGTTGTCACGCGGGGACGCATCGGAGTGTGGCAATTGCGGAACGGATTGCGCAGTGTGTTAAGTGGGAGGTGGGCAGGAGGGGGGATGGGGAGGGGGTGAGGGTTGTGTGTAGGCACGTTCATCGGGTTAAGGGGAGGGAGGATCCTTTTTGAGGGGTAGTAGAGGGACGGAGGTTTTAGGTTGCTGTTTCTTGCCTTGTTGTCCCTTGATGAATATGATCGGAATGGCTGGTGGCTAGTGATTGACGATAGTGGCTCGTGAGACTGCTTTGTACATATGGTCAGTGTAGGCATGTATAAGAAATCAGTGCTGGAAACTCCTTGATTGATGACATTGAACTCCGGTATTGATTCTTGTTACATGATGACAAAAACATTGCGACATACGCTCACTTTCTAACAGTACTGAACCGCACTCGAAGCTAACCTCCTATGCTTCGATCCCACACTTTTCCTTTCCTCTTCATATCATAACATTGCACATGCTCGTGTACACCTATCTCTTCTTCTTCTATTTTGAACTTCTTTACGCCGTCTTCTTCTTGCCAATGCTGGTATCGATGCTGCCCAAAACCCAGGTAACGGCAAATACAGCAAACATGCCCAGAGTGATGACAATGGGCTTCCTGTATCCCGCAATCCAGGGGTAGTCATAAGTGACAATGACATCGCGGTCTCTGAACTCATCTACCAAGTTGATGGATGTCAAAGTCAGTGCAGTGCGACCCAGAGTATCCATGAAGGTCTTGTGCAGTGTGACCTCGTTGGCTACAATGGGAACAGTGGTCGAAAACTTGACATTGGTAGCGCCCTCAGGGAGGATGATGCGGAGGCTGACGCGACCGTAGGAGATGCCCTCACCAGCGCGGGGGCCCTCGAGGAAAGGAACCTTGAGCACATAAGTATCGCCAGTTGAGAGCTTGCGCAGGTATGTGGACAGATCGGCGTTCCAACCAACACGGAAACTGTACTTCCAGGTTCCGAAGATGGGGTACCTGGGCTTCAACTCCAACAGAGCCTCCTTGTTGCCAGGGCGGAACCTGGAGGTAGAGACGTTACCGATGTCATCAGTGAAGTAGGGGTCGACAGATCCAGGAGCCAGAGGAAGGACAAGACCCTTGACAGCAAAAGTAGGTGGGTTCATGTAAGATTGTCTCTGCCACTCGACGCGCGAAAAGTGGTTCTTAAGTCCGGCGCCCTGGTTCTCGAGCCAGTACCTCTCCTCAAAGGCCAAGTTGCCGCCCCAATGCGAGACTTCGACATCGCGCTCTAGGCGCGTGGCGTGTGTCACAGGCTTTGTGAATTCGTAGCGCACGCTTACGGGCTGTTGAGCGCCAGCTGGCACATTGTTGTAAACTCCATATGTAAAGGTGGAGCCCTGCTTCTGCGGGTCGGCCTTGTTCTCGTCATTGAGCTCGGCGGGGAGAGAGGTGTAGTCTGGCACATCGTTGTTGGGGAACTTGACCTTGGTGCGCTGCTTCTCGGTCAAGTAGGCGGAGGGTGCGTATGCGCTGAAGTCGTATTGCAGGTACTGCTTCGCTGTCTGAGGGAGCTGGGCGGGAACCGGCTTGAGGGAGGAGAGGATTGAGTAGGAGATGCTGAGAGTCTGCTGGGCGTTGGGTGCGAGAGGTTCGGGGAGGTGGATCTTGTAGAACTCAACCGAGCTGTTCCTGTTAGTCCCCGTGCTATGCATACCCATTACGCAATCTATACACACCTTTCCGCATCAAAGCCAACAACATCAACTTTGAAGGTACCCTTCTCAGCCGCCTTCTTGTCCCTCACCTCGAGTCCGCCAACCTTTGACAGCAGGGCAGAGTCGAAGGGAAGATAGTATTCCGACTGCGCTTTTGAATCAATGTTTTGGATAATGACATTGATCGTCTCCCTTGGGTAGGCCTTGTCGAGATTGGTGGTGCGGACTAGATTGGCATTCTTGAATACCTGGGGTGGTGCGAAGGTGCTGGGGAGCACTTGCTTGGACAGCAATGGTTCGGAGAGGTTTAATTCGGCAGCGGCGAATGTTACTAGAGCTGCTACGCAGCTTGCGAGGGAAATGGACCTCATTGCGAATAGCAGTCAAGCTATCCCGTCATGTGCGAGGTTGGTGTTTGTCGGCGGCTCACACGCGGCTATGCTATTGCGTCGTGTTCTCTTCGGAGTTGGCTGGCACCTCCGCGTCTGTGCGTGAACACCCATAGCTCCACCACCCCTCCATGTCTGGCTCCTCCACAAACGCCCCTCGACAACACCACAATGCGCCTGTTGGTAACCTCAATTAGGCGGCCCCGCATAGCCGCCACGTCCACTGCCATAGCTAGGGCTTCGGCGAGACGTCACTTGACTAACAATGGCTTTTTTCGTGTCTCGGAAGAAGTGCGAGAGGCACTGAATTCAAACAAGCCCGTGGTCGCCCTAGAGACGACCATCTACACACACGGTGAGGGCGCATGTCAATGGCACATATGCACGTGACATGAGCTAATTGCTCGTGCAGGCTTCCCATACCCTGAAAATGTAGCCCTAGCCTCCCTCCTCGAAAGTGTAGTCCGGACCAACGGTGCCGTCCCAGCCACAATAGGCATTTTGGATGGTGTAGCACGCGTCGGCCTGGATCCGGAAGAGCTCATAAGACTGGCTTCTTCTGCTGGACAGGCAAATACGCTGAAGCTCTCACGTCGCGACCTCGGCTATGTATGCGGTACACGACTCACCAACAAGTCTTTCAATGGAGGCACCACCATATCTGGCACCATGTTGCTAGCACACCTCGCTGGTATCAAGATATTCGGAACCGGCGGCCTTGGTGGTGTTCACCGTGGCGCCGAGTCGAGCATGGACATTTCTGCTGATTTGACGGAGCTTGGAAGAACACCAGTCACGGTGGTCTCCAGTGGCTGCAAGAGTTTCCTTGACATACCGCGAACAATTGAGTACCTTGAAACCGAGGGCGTGGGAGTGGGCACATTCGCCGACGGCCGCACGGGGAAGGTAGACTTTCCTGCCTTCTGGTCCAGAGACAGTGGAGTCAAGAGCCCGGTGACAATTGCGGACGAGATTGAAGCTGCTGCTGTTATACGTAAGTATCCATTGTCTCTGGACAAGCCACTCTAACGCCAAGTAGATGCGCAACACACTCTTCAAATATCATCTGGCCTGCTTTTTGCCAACCCTGTTCCTACAGAGTTTGCTATACCCAAGGAAGAAATGGACGTGGTTATTGAAGAGGCCTTGCGACAAGCCAACGCCGAAAACATCTCAGGCAAAGACAATACGCCCTTTGTACTCGCCAAGATCAAGGAGCTTACCAAGGGCAAGAGCATTCCTGCCAACAGGGCACTCATTGAGTCCAACGTCAAGCGAGCAGCCATTGTAGCACGCGAACTCGCCATTCTAGAAGCAAAGCAACAAGAGGCCCAAGGGTGAGCCAGCACTCTGGTAGCTCAATAGTAAACTGGCGCTGATGTAAGTATCATAGACGTACTTCTTCTTACTTCACACCCGTTCAATCCAGTCCGGCCTCTACTGCTCAAGAGCGGCTGCACAATGCATCTTTATCGCCCTCTGAGCCTCCTTCTACACCCCCTACCAGTATCTCATCTCAGTCCGAACAACAAGCCGCTGCCGACATCGTTGTGGCGGGTGCTCTCGCAGTAGACTTTTCATGTGATTTTGCTCCTTTAACACCTTCATCCAGTCAGATAGATCCACTGCCACATACATCAAACCCTGCTGTTATCACCCAAACACTTGGAGGCGTAGCTCACAATATTGCCAAAGCTTCTCATCTGCTCGGTTCATCTGTGCGATTGCACAGCGCTGTGGGTGACGACTTAAGTGGCCGCGCAGCCGTCAACCAACTACAAGAGGAAGGCATGTCAATCTCTGGTATTGAGACGATGCCTGCGCCTTCCAGGACGGCACAATATGTTGCCATTAATAATATCAACAAGGATCTTGCCATGGCCATGGCAGACATGTCCATCCTAGAGACCATACCCAATGACACCATTCGCCAGCTGGCCAACACCGTGTTTCACGACCTCTCTAGCTCACCCAAAGCTTTTATCGCAGATGCAAACTGGTCCTCGGCTGCCTTGCATACTTGGCTCCAAGCTGCCCGTCAAGCAAACACAACCACTATTTTCGAGCCAGTCTCTACCGCCAAAGCGTTACGCATCTTTCCGCAAAAAGCTGCCCCCACTGTTTTCCCCACTCCTCTCGTAGACATCACAACACCAAATACTTATGAACTCAGTGCTTTGCACGATCACGCACATCAATCTGGCTACTTTGACAGCCCCGAGTGGTTCAGTGTCATCGACGCATTGGGTATCCCCAATGGCGGCCTACGCGTGCCCCTGGCAGTCACTGTGGGCAGTGACATAGTCGATCAAGGCATCCCCCAGCAAGCGATCAAGTTGCTTCCTTTCTTCCCAACTATACTGACCAAACTCGGTCCTCAAGGTGTCCTCATGACCAAACTTCTTGCTGCTGACGCACCCGAACTACACTCCGAGGCTGAGCGCCAGTTTGTACTCGCACGCAACAGTGCGCCCAGTGCGACAAATGCGCAACTAAGTGTTGCAGGGCTGTATGTGAGACTTTTCCCAGTGGAAAAGGTACTCTCGCCCGAGGAAGTAATTAGTGTAAATGGTATTGGCGATACGTTTTGTGGGGCTCTAGCCCACGGCCTCAGCCAGGGTAGGTGGGTCCAAGATGTGGTAGGTTTTGCACAAGGGGCTGCAGCATTGAGTCTGAAGAGTCGTGAGGCGGTCAGCAGCGAGTTGAAACGACTGAGAGGTTCGTTGGCAAAAGTCTGATCTCTACTTCGTCACCTTTTAGTACGAAAAGCATGAAAGTGTAGCAGACTCTGTATTTATATGTTTATGTTTGTATGAAAAAGAAGCATATCATCCAATCGGTACTCTAAGCCCTTAAGAATAACACGCCATTTCACCTAAATACGTAGGATTCGTGACATGCACGCACACACAAACACACATTCGAGGAATAAGAATGAAGCTACATACTTCCTCTTTCTTACTCTCACATACACACCCCCCACACACCCACACACAAAAGCCGCACATGACAAAAAAAGGTTGAACAGAAAATGAAAAAAAAGGTTAACACACAGAACAAGACAAGATAGGACATGGTAGCCATAAGAAGCCCAGCCTAGCCCCACCTTTCCCATAATCTATTTCCCCTTCGCGCCCCCCCTTTTCCAAGTCACACCCATCCACATTATACACACACACACACACACACGAGAAAAGATGACGAAATAAGCCTCAAAGGCCAGTTCAATCCTAAGAAAAAAAGAAAAAAAAAGAACTCCGAAAAGAACATCCCCCCCACCTTTCCCTGAGAAAAAAAAACGCCTTGGGGGGTCCCGTTTATTCCCCTCAAAAGTCCAGATTGCACCAATGTACTAGTAGTAGTGATAGTTGGTGGGGAGTTAAACAAATGATGATGAAGATTGATGACGGTAATGGCATTGCTATGTAAGTTTATCTTTTTGAAGTAAACCGACAAAGCCTCCAGGGCGGGGTTGTGTGTGTGTATGTGTGTGTGTTCGTGCACGTGATACGTGATACGTTGTGCGCGTAGTGGTAAAGGTTATGATACAGAGAGAGACAGAAAGACAGGGAGACAGGGAGAGAAAGAGCCCCGGGGATCCGCGCGTCTCGTGACCGCCCCCGCCTAAGACGCCGAGGTTATGATGAATAGCAAAGAAGGGGGTGGGGGGCAAGGCATGTTGACTGATCGATTAGGATCGGATAAGAGTATTTGCAGAAAAAAAAGGGGGGTTATGACTGGTCATAGTCATGGTGATGGCATGCCCCGTGTCGTCGTTGACGTCGCGTTTCTCCTTTTGGTCCAGATCGTCGCGTGTGTTGGCGTAACAAATGATAATGCGTAAAGTTTGTCCAATGTTTGAAACTCATGAGGGTGCCATTCCCTCGATAGCCCCTCGTTCAAACTCTGCTAGTCTCTGCAGCTTGGCTTCTAGTTCAGCAAAGATGTCTCCCATGTGGCAAGCCTGTTGGAGCAGGGGTGCACCGCCAAATGGCCTCATCCGATGACGCAGGAAAAGCGTATTTACACAAGACTACGACCCCGGTTAGCATTTTGAATATCCAGTCATGGGAATGCCTCGAAACTTACCTCGATTCTAGAAATTTGATGCTCCACAAAGTTTACCAAGAACCGGTCTGTGATTTCTCCGCCCCGACTCTTCATCCTCTCCAACAGGGCAGTCTCGGGAGGCTTCAATTCAGAACATCCTGGACTCTCAAGAGAACTGCAGAGCATCTCGAGACGAAGACTGATATTCCAAAGATCCCAGACATCTTCCGTGTCAATAGTGAGCTGACTACCAGCCATCTTTTGCCCAACTGTAGATTCAGCTTTGGGATCGGCAGGCTTTGCATCCGTCTGTCGTTGGACGGTGAGACGACTGGCGAGTGCATGTGGGTACATGAGGTAGATGTATTCCGGATTTTCGAGACCTTTGAGGCGACGTTCGCCTAGGTCTTTGACCTCGAAACCCTGGCTACTAAGGGAGCGCAATTCGGAGCGAATCATCTGGCTGTTCAGATCGTCGCCGTAGGCTTCTTCGGAACCTGCCGAATTGTTGCGGTCTCCCTCGATGTGCGTCTCGAGCAGGCGTTGAATCTCGGCAATAAAGTCAGATGAGACAGTGATTTGACCTCCATCGGCGACGGACGAGATACGCGAGGCGCGATTGACCATGGGACCAAAGTAGTCCATGCGCTTGGTGACAGGATCGACTTCGCACACTGGTGTACCCCAATGGATACCCATACGCACTGAGAGACCTCGGAAGATGACATTACCATCAGCGTCGACCACCTCTTGTCCGTTCACACTATTGAGTATTTCTTGCGGCCATTGAACCTCGAGCAACTGGCTTTGAATGGTAAAACACCAGAGCAATGCCGAGGTGACTGTGCGGAAAGCAACCATGAAGGCATCTCCTTCCGTCTTCACTTCATAACCACCAATGATACGTAGCTGTCGGCGCATAAGCTCGTTGTGCATCTTGATAGCGGATCGCATGGCAATCGGGTACGTCTCCCATAGTATTGTCGAGTTCTTGATATCAGTGAAGACCAAGCTGACTTCTCCTGTTGGGGCATCCACTTCATTGTCGAGACGCGCCAATTTGGAGTCACCAACAAGATTACCCTTCTTTCCACGTCTGCGGGATGCGCCCCAATCAGGATCAGCACCAGGAGCAGGAATCAAAGACATGCTCTGTGTGCGGTACCGGGCACGCTGTTTGCTCTTGAGATCGCTGACTCCGAGCAACATGACCATGATCTTGTTTGTAGCACCAAATGCGATTGCTAGATCACGGAGTTTCTGTGCAGCTACCATTAGATCATTGCGCTCGGATCGAGCCACATCGACGGCGAAATCTGGTGTAAGATACTCCCAGAGCTCTCGGGAAGCAACCAAGACCATTTCATCGGTATCGCCAAGAGTCATGTTGAGGATGTGAGGTGACGCAATGACTGAAGGCGACATTTGCACATACCCAAAGGCTCTTGAAACCTCAAGGACATCGTTGAGCTTGCCCTGTCGCGACACGAAGCCTCCAGCCTCTCGTATTCTTGCCCTCTCTCCAGGCTCTGCAGGATCATGCTTGCGTGTGAGAATTTTGTGTCCTCCTTCAGATCGGATCAAGAGTGCCTGCGCATCACCGACATTGGATATGTAAAGCTCCATTTCTTTCAGGAACAGTACAGTTGCCACACTTCCTGAAGTCAGATCATCGTCGCTGAGCTCGGGTACTGAACTGCGTTGTGGAGTTGGTGACGCGAAGGCGTTCTTGTCGAGTGCTTGGCTGGCGGCGGTAGCCAGTTCTTTGTTGAGACCTAGATAGGTCCGTCGCAAAGCATCCGAGGGGGTTTCTTGCGGTCGTAAACGCTCCAGCTCATCGGCGAACCGGTTCTTGAAGTTGTCGTACAAGTACTTTGCGATTTTAGCACCGCCTCCAGCAAGCGGTTGTGCGTCGAACATCCCCAGCAGTTGTTCATCGTCGTGACTGCGGAAGCGGGGGACAACCATGTCCATGGTCGAAATGTGCTCATTGCGACCCAGGGAATCTGCCATACCATACGCCATTGTACCAACAGCTGAGCCTGCTGTACGAACTCTTCGGTCCTCTGATTGCTCTGGAACCGAGGGTACCATCATCGTTACATCCATGAGACCAAGCACCCGTAGATTAATCAGGGAGCTGAAATCTGTAAGATCACGCCCTTCGCGCATGCTCGAACCGCTGCCGCTGTACGATCCACTGGGCTTGATCTCCAAGCGTTTGTTGCCAGACAAATTCAGGTACCGAAGCTTATGATTCCAGTTCCAATTCCAGTCATATGGCCAATTCGACACGTTGTACTTGAGCGAATTGCTCGCGACATCGAGAACAGCCAATTGCGCAACCTTGCCGAGTTCCGCAGGCAGAACCTGAAATTTGTTGTTATTGATATGAAGCACCTTGAGTGAGCCGACTTCTTCAAGATCCTCTGCTGGCAAGGATGTGAGATCATTGCCAGATAGATACAACTCGGTAAGATGTTGCCATCTTCGAATGGTACGCGGCGGTATGTCGTAAATGAGATTATAGCCCAGGTTTACAATCCGTAGCTCGGGCAGAAGGCATAGCTCATCAAAGACGTCGTCATTGAGGCGGTTATCAGCCAGAAACACGTGTCTCAGGGAGCCTGCGAAAGTGGTCACCATGCGACTGCTTAGACTAGAATCTTTGCGGGACATGGGAGTTACAGTTCCCTCGGTTGGCGCACGAGAGGCTGTAGATGGCTTGCGTGTTGTACTCGATGAGTTGTAAGAAGTCATGGAACCTGTTCGATTTGAAGGGGCAGGTGAACTAGCAACAGTGAGCCCACCTGACGCCTGACTGGGACGACGATTCTGAAAATCTTCCAGCTTGCCTAGTTCCTCGTAACTTGGAGTGGCCTTCAAAGCATGTGTATTTGTAGGTCCATCTGTTTGGGCCTGCTCGCCATTGGTTACTTGAGGAGGCGCCGCACCTGGCTTGGGGAATGCATCGAGAACATTTGACGATACGTTGAGTGTCTCCAGCCGACGTGCGTACCAAAGCTCCTGAGGAAGTACGCTGAGGTTGTTCTCGCGCACATCCAGATACCGAAGTTCGACAAGCCGCCCAATCTCGGCAGGCAAGACGTCGAGCGAATTTCGAGCAATACTCAAATGCTCTAGTCTGTATAGCTTGCCTATGTTTTTTGATATAGATGTGAAGTGATTCTTGTCGAGGATCAGCTTGGTGAGACCTGTGAGTTTGGAAAAGAGATCATCGGGTAGCTGAGCCAGTTTTGCAGATGCAAGGTTGAGTACGGATAAGGACGGCGTTGGTTGTGTGAGGCCAAACCGTGTCACGGGGTTGTGATTCATATGAAGCACTCGAATCTTGGGGAAGTAGCCCTCGAAGGCCGAGATTGAGTTGTGCCCTATCATGAGGTATTCCAACCGCGGCAGTTGGGACATGACATCCATGCTGTCAAGCGCGTTGAATCGCAGGTCGATTTCTCGAAGGTTGACCAGATTACTGAGTCCTGGTGGAAAACTACCGGTCAGCTTGTTATTTGTCGCCCAGAGTCTCTCCAGACAGGTCAATTGGCCTATCTTGGGCAGGCTGGAGATTGAGTTGAAGCTGATGTCGAGGTCGACGAGTGTGCGCACTTCACACAGAAAGTCGGGGAATTCGTTCAACGAGTTGGAGCTCAGGTTCAAACTGCGAAGTGCACGGTATTGTCCAAAGTAGGGCGGTAGTCGCGTTAGCCAATTGTTGGAGAGTCGGAGACCTTGCAAGCTTTGTAGCTTGTACAGTTCAGCTCGGTCGAGTGATTGCAGCCGATTGTTCGAGATATCCAACATAGTCAAGCGACTAGCGAGGCTAAGACTAGGAGGTAGTCGTCTGGCATCGTTGCTGGTGTACTTGATCTCTCTCAGGTTGGTGCAAGCAAGGATAAAGTCTCTGGGGACATCTAATGATAGGTTACGGGAAAGATTGAGTGATATTATCTCGGTCGCCTTCTGGTACAAGGTGATAGGAATGGTAATCAAATTGCGGCCTTGGAGGTCAACGTGGGTGAATTTTTGCATCTTGCTGAAGCCGGGGTCCCGTTCCAGACTCGAGTATCCGCTCATCTTGGCAGGGAGGAAAGTGAATCTGCAGAGATAACTATTGTCCTCTCGGCCAACATCTTCTAGACGATCCTTGTCCGTGTATCCGGCTAGCTCCAAGAGCCGCTTCTGTATGAGCAGCGGGCGTTCACTACTGTCTAGCTGTCGCGAAGTGTCGTGCTTACGCATCACGATGTGGTAGTTGTCCAGTTCGTCTTGCAATACTGTCTTTTTCCCTAGTATTTGAATAATCTCTTGCACAGTAGTGTTGAGGGTAGCCGACAGCGTTGCAAAGGTTGAATCAACTCTGAAAATGCGCAAACAGTACGTCTTGTTGTCGTGCTCTTCTTTTGAAGGCGTGGGAATGTCCTCGACATCGGCCGGTTTCTCAACCTCGTCCTTTGTACGCTTCACAGCCCAGGAATCGGGTGCGTCCCAAGCCGCTGTACCGTCATCCTCGGGCGGGATCGCAATGTCTTCACGAAGGGTAGGCTGTTTTTGTAATTCTCCAACAGGCGGTGTCATGGGCGGTTGCTGCTGTAGGTTGACAATACCCTCCATATCGTTGAGATTCTGGTCTAAGAAGAAGACGGCATCATTGCCTGTTGTGCTAGCTATGTTCTCGTTGGGGTCTCGGCCGGTTGGTTCAATCATGGGCGCGCGCTTCTCCTTCCTAAAAGTAGGCAACCGGTGGTGAGGGGCCCTACCCCTCTGCTCCTTCAGCGACTTGTCATCAGCGACGCCGCTGGTAGCTGGACGCTTGGCCATGTTCGCCTGTGGAGGAAGTTCTGGTCTGGTAAGTCGAGCGGGGGCAATGGACGGGTTCAGGGAGGTGGCTGAGGCAGTTCCAGAAGACGTGAGGTTCTTAAGACTTTCTGACTGGACGTTGCGATCTGATTTGTCCTTGCCCCGTAATCGTGCAAAGAATCCATGGGCTGGCTTGCTGGCACTGGGCGATCGTTGTGCCATCCTATCGTCCCGAGTCATGTCTGAGTATGAGCTTGGGGTAGGGCTTGATGGACGGCCCAGGAGACTCGACTTGGAAGCAAAGGCTGAGCTGAGGGCTGATGGCTGGTTTATACGAGCACTTGCCTCCTCGCGGCTGGTGGTGGGTCGCAGAGCATAAGACTGGCTATTGTCAGCTCGTCCGTCCGGGAACTTGTTCTCCTCCTTGCTGCCTTTGTGCCGATGACTGGTGGTTCCTGGTAACCTTACGTGGAGTTTGTGATGTGATCGTCCAGACTTTGCTGAATGCTGTTCAGATGACCGACGCCCCCCGCTCTCAGGCAAAGCACCCATGTCCTGTTAGGAGTTAGCAATGCAACTGCCAGGATCGGCGCGAGGTGACATAGGGTATGTGAAGGAGTGAGGGAGCAAAAGTTGTGGGGAAAAAAAGGGCAGGGCGTCTTTGCTTTGGCACAGGTTTCCCCAAGCTGATATTGAGACTCACCTTTGGGTCTTGAAACTCCCACGGGGTGACTTCCGAGGACGCTTGCGGGGTGCGCGGGCGCGAACTGGTAGGCGATGTGGGTCGGGAATGGTGGCCACTGCCGATGGTGTTGTTGAGGGAGTTGCCGCGATTGCGCTGTCCACGGATGGATTGCGTGTCGGGTGCATATGATGGCATGTTCAAACTGGTATCCGAGTTCTGGCGGCCATCAGCAGGAAAGTCCTCGCCAAACACATTCTGAAGTCTTTTGTGGAATCCTCGGCCAATGCTCGACTTGGATCCGGTGCTACTAACAGTGGTGGCGCTGGCTACGGAGGGCCGTCGGTCGTCTTTGAAGGGAAAGCCCATGCTGTCCTCGCGACTGCCGGTGCCTGGGCGGAAGCCGGGCGAGGACTGCGAAACGTCTTCATTTGAATCATTGAAGAAGCTGCTCCAGACACCGTTGGCCATGCTGTTGCCGTTGGAGGCAGAGGACCAAGGTGTGGCTTGGGAAGTGGCGCTCGTAGCCGTGGGAGGGTTTCGCGATATGGCGGGCACCCTTCCCCCAGAGGTCTCCAACACAGCCAGCTGTTTCCGATGTTCTCCGAAAGGGCTCATGGCCGCGCCGTCCCTATGGGAAGACTTCCATGGGCGATGCGAGGGGTCTTTGGGCGGCGGGGCTGGAGGGACGGTGCCGGGGGATATCTCGCTTTCCTTCTCAGCGCTAGACGAGGGCGTAAGCAATGCGGCCGGGACACAAGTGAGGAAGCCGGCTGGGCAGTGAGACGAGGAGGAGGGATGAGAGTCATGGCTGGGGAAGGGGAGAGGGGCGGGCGTATGGGGCGTATGGGCGTGTGTGTGTGTGTATGTGTATTGCATCAGCAGGAATACGTACTTGGAATTGAGTGTTTTGTCCGTCTTGACCGTCACGGGGGTGCCCCTCAGCGAACCCGCGCGTCCATAGGGCCGTATTGTGTCGCCGGAGCGCGAACTCCACGAGCTCTCCACCGAAGCATGACGGCCGACCGTCTCATTCCTCGTCATGGTCACGGCGGGGTGTGCAGCAGTATGTGTGTCGCGCCAGGCCCGCGCAGATGCGGCGACGGTAGGCGGGTTGGGTGGCTGCTTGCGCAGAGGTGCCTAGGACGGCTGCTTCATCGAGGCGGGACAGCAGCTTGAGGTGTGCACATGGGCGGCGGCGGCAGAGACAAAGGCGGAGACGCAGGCGAGCCGGGGCAGGGCAGGGTAGGGCAGGGTGAGGCGAGGCGAGGCGAGGCAAAGAGCGCGACCAGCAGCGGTCAAGGGCCCGGCGGACAATGGGGGGTTGGGCGGGCGAGGGATGCGCGGTGGAGGACGTGGGCGTAGGTGTGGGAGTGGGTGGGAGAGTGGGAGTGAGGATGCGTATGTATGCAAGTATGCAGGTATGCAAGTGTATGTGTGTGTGTGCGGTACGTGGGAGGGGGGCAGCAAGGGGATGGATGCAAAGGGCAGACAGAAGAGAGAGAGAGACAGCAGCAGCAGCAGCAGCAGTTGGGGATGGGCAAGAGTGGCGCTTCAATGCGAGGGCGGGCGCAGGCGTTCAGACGGCGCGGTAGGATGGGATTGCGGGCGTGTGCAGCGGAGTGTTTCTCTATCTTGATGTCTGTCTGTGTGTGTGTGTGTGTCTATGTCTCTGCGCGGGCTGGTGGTGGACTGGACAATGGGGCACTGGGGCGGCGGGCAGTTGGCATTCGGCTCGGCATGGGCATGGGCGCAGGCCCCACTCTGTATGGAGAGCGACATGCTCACCTGTTCTCGAGCAGCATTGCGCCACCTGCACGCCCTCGTCCACTGCCCTACCAGCTACCCTCCCCTCCCCGACCACCCTACCCACTCCCAAAGACACTACCGCCGCCCTACCGAGCTGCCCGTCCTAGCAGCCCACCCCCGGCCTAGAACACCGCCCATGCTGTGCGCACGCGGGACTTTGTCCTCATCCAGCACAGAGTAAGTGGTAGCCCATCTCGAGCGACTTGACTTGTGCATGGCCATATGCGTTGCCGGCCGGGTGAATGATTTGATGCGTCTCCTACGCCTAAACAGCCACTGTGTGTTAGCCGTCGCACTGCTGCCCTGCTGCTCCGTGGCACTGTGGCGCTGTCGCACGTCTCCCCGCTTTTGCAGCGACGTCTGTTCGAGCATCTCATGCTGCAAGAGAGATCGCTTGGGCACCGCCATGCCATCACTCTGCTGTCCTCGCCCTCGCCTGCACTTACACTTACACTTACACCTACTTGCTAGCTCCTCCTGCCTGGCCCTCGCCACTCCACTTTCGATAGTCGTAACCATCAGCAAAAGCAAAATCACAATCCACCCTCGGACGCCTGCTGCCCGCACGCCTGCCCACAACAAAGCTTGCGCATATTCTCCGACGTTGCACGTCTGCCCTAGTCACAGCACCATCTCTTACTACCTTCCAACCACGGCCGCCTACCCACTCCCACCGTTTCACCACGACCCCCCCCCCCACGAACGCCTGAATCCTACCACTAACGGCAATAACATTTCATCCTCATCCACCAACATCCCCCCCATGACTCATTACAGCACCACCCGCTACCTGTACATACACACTACGTATGTACGTACTTGCGTCTATGACCAAATGCTGACAAGAACCAACCATTAACCGTCTATGCCCCTGCCCCCGCATCCCCAAACCTTCTTTCAACCAACACACACAGTAGTGGTACAATATCGTCTGCGCCATTGCCCTGATTAATATTTACACTTTGATACTTCAACACCCATGCTTTTTTCCACCTGACGTCGACGCATAGCACACCAGCGCATCCCTTCCTGCTGTACGAGTAATATCATTCTACAAGACGCCATCCCAAATTAAAGAAAATACCCTGTGCGCTTAGCCAAAGAAACAACAACAACAACAACAACTACTACTACTACCACTACTACTACGACACCAGTACACGTCCCTGACAAACTAGCCCCCCTTCGCCGTCTCGCAAACACCGTCATCCATCCCTCTCGCTGAGAAGGCTGCATGTCCCATCAGGCCCCGCTAATCTGTTCCCTTGTCCTACTCCTACTGGGGCGCCCCTCCCCCTTGGAGAGCCCGCAATATATCCTGCAATGACTGCGCGCTAGCCTGCCCGTTGCCTGGCTGCGGGGCATTCATACCCGGTGCCTGACTCTGCCCATATGCCTGATAAGGATACGAGTACTGCGCTGCAGCTGCCGGTTGTGGCGGTGGCGGTGCGGGGGCCTGTGCTGCCATTTGAGGCTGTGGTGGTTGTTGCCCGCTCATCGCACCCACAACCTGGAACCACTGTGCCCACGCCGCCCAATTGGCCGCCTGGTTCGCCTGTGGTTGTGCCTGTGTCTGCGCCGGCACTGGAGGCTGCGGTGTGTAAGATGGTTGAGGAGTATATGATGCAGCCACTGCTGGTGGAGGAGGTGGCGGGGCTGAAGCATACGGTATCGCAGGTTGCGATGGGCCCGAAAACGGCACTGGCCAACCTGCGTTGCTGTTGGTTGTATATGCATTAGAGTTCGAAGGCCCGGAAGGTGCTGGAGAAGCATTCTGTTGTTGTTGTTTTTGGGACTGCTGCTGCTGCTGTTGTTGCTGCTGTTGGCGTTCTCGCTCCCTCTTCTCGCGTTGTCGCTGCTTGCGGTTCTTGTTCTTGCCGCCACCTCCAGAGGGGGACTGTTGCGAAGGGGGTTGCTGAGGGTACGACTGATTACGGTCCTGTTGTTGGCGTGCCGGAGATGCAGAGGCAGCAGATCGGTTGTCTTGGTAGGGCCCGTTCCTCTGCTGCTGGTTGTTTTGTTGAAACTGCTCCTGTTGCTTGCCGCGGTCAGACTGATTCTTGCCCGCCCGCCCGCCCTTTTCGCCCCCTCCTTTGTCGCCTCGATTGTTGCTCTGAGCCCCGCGGTCGCCCCGTTGTCCTGCACGATCACCACGACCTCCTCCAAAATCACCACGCCCGCCATTGCCGCCGCCGCCGTATCCTCCTCGGTCGCCGCGAGCACCACCAAAGTCACCGCGTCCGCCAGCGCCTCCCCGGCCACGAAATCCGCGACCTCGATCGCCCCATGGACCCCTGCCGCGACCCATGCCTCTTCGCACATGGCTACGATCCTCCAGGGGCGCACCCTGGCCAACAATTTGCTCAAAGTGGTCCGGTCGAGCAAGTGGTTTGTACATCCCCAAATCCTCATCTTCATCATCACTGTATTTAAGCCCACCACCTTGGTACTCCATGGGCCGGTAGATAGGCGGTGCCGGAGCATCAACGTGTAGTCTCGGGCCAGTGGGTATGTTCACAGGAGCCTGTTCCTCGTTGGTATCCGCTCTGGCTCGCTTCTTGGCCTTCTGCTCGCGCTTGTATTCAGCCTCCTTCTCGTCGTCCGAAAACTCGACTTCGTTGGTCTCTTCGTCATGGAGGTTTGATGCATCGGTATGCTTCTGCCGGCGGATGGGCTCAGTCTCGGTGAAGGTTGAGTGCTCGTCGACATAGTAAATAGTTGTGTCCTTCTCGATACCTAAAGTCGCAAGTTCAGCTGGGTCATTGAAGCCAAATGAATAGCGAGGCTCTTCAACACGACCAATCTGCTCAGACACCTTGCCAACAACAGTGCGGTTCTGCAGACAGAGCGCTGAGCCAGACTCAAGCACTTGCTCGTCTCCAGACATCTTGGCCTTCACAACTACTAGATTTCCAACAATTGATTCAACCTTGCCGAGTTCTGTGATCTTTGTGTCTTCTGTAACAGTGATGTCGGGCTTCTCGAATTTCTCATCCATCTCATTGAGCGTCTTGACTTTCACTGGGCCCGAAGCGCCTGCATCGTCTGCGACTTCAGCCATAAGGAGGCGCACCTGCTCCTCGGGATCCAGTAGCTCGCCCTCGTCTGAGCTGTCATCAGAGCTCGAGTCCGAGGAAGAGTCTGAGTCCGAGTCTGAGGCGTCCGAGTCCAGCTGCCATTCAGCATTCTGGTCGCCCCTGTTTGCCTCGGCCGCGCGCAGGAATTCGGTCTTGCTGTCGAATGTAGCATCTTCAGTCTCGTTTTGTTGGTCTATTGCTGCAGTAAGTGCCGCGTCGAGCTCGCCATCGGTGTCGGCGGCGGGGGTATCTGCTGCAGCGGCAGCATCTTGGGTAGACGTCAAGTTTGCACCAGGCAGCTCAGAGGGAGACTGCATGCCTTGCTGTGGAGCATCATGCTGGGCCTGCGCTTGATTGGCTGCAGACGGCTCGACTGGGATGCCGGCCTGCGCGTTCGCGTTGGCATCATCGTAAAAGGCCTCCCCATCCGAAAACTCGCCGTCTTCTGGCTCATCTTGGGCTGCCGCGCCGTCGTGTGGCTGCGGCTGCGGCTGCGCAACCGGGGCCTCGCTCGTAGAGCCGAGTCCTGGAAGGTGAAAGGCTGGCGCGGGTGCAACCGCTGCAAACGACGACGCTGTCGTCCCGTCCACAGCGGTAGGCAGCGCAGATGGTTTGACTGGCGTAGTGTCGTAAAAATCGTCGTCCATGTCATCGACAGGCGAGCCAGGCGCGTCCAGCGCAGATGCAGAGGATGCTGAAGTGCCATACTGTGTGGGAGCGTCCGCCTCCAACCGCGCCCTTTTGGCCGGCGGTTCCAGAGAGTCGGACATGTTCGAGTGTGTCTCTCTGCAGTCTTCTCTGAAGCGCGCGTGATCACTGCGGTATATCAACTGCGTTGTCTGCACCCGTTTGCTTTTATTGCGTGCGGTGATTGTTCTGGGACAGGAGAGCGGATCCAGGGAGAACGTCGCCTTTTTCGATGCGCGCTAGTATGCTTGGCGGGCAGGCACGACCTCAGCCCTATGACGCGGGCGAACGCGGAACGGGCGATCTCGTTCATGCACCGCCCTGGACGTCTTGCCGTTATTGTTGCTCAGAGTCGACGGAGACAGTTGCTGCCATTGCCTCACCGCCATGTCTGCCACACGCCCCAAAGCGGCGCCTCCGCATGCGGCCAGGTACGTCCAGACACCACGGCTCAGGGGGCACCCATTCCTG